TGCCAGGGGGTGTTTTTTAAAGTCATTTCTCAGCAAGATAAAGCATGGGGAGTTTGCTTTGAATATTAAAAATGAATTATATAGCATTTTTGATTTGTGGTGCTCAGATGCAATGCTGTTCCACTTTAAAGAACCGTACTAAAGGCAACCTTTCCAAAAGGAAACACATAGTCTGCAATTGCCGACATTAAATTATGTAGATGCTATATTGTTGGCTGCCCTGCCGAATCTCTAGCATCAGTACTTTGGGTGACTGATTTCAATACAAGTTCCAGGTCAGCATTGAAGTTAAAGGGTCAGAATAAAGGTCAGACACCTAACATTTTTAGAAAGGTGTTAGCAATGGCAGCCCCCTTCAAGGAAAGGTTTCCTTTATTAAAAGTACATTTGGACACAATATATAGTGAGTGTGGTGAGAAGAAGCACTAGCTATAGCTGAAACAATCATGGCAAGTCAGTTTATTTATTGCGGGTATTTATATAGCACTGACAATTTACTTAGCACTTTAATGTACTGTACATTCACATCAGATTACATCTAATGGGCACTTTCTACCTATGTTATCTACAAACAGTACACAACTTCTAAAACCACCACTTTGTAACACAGCTGTTAAATGAATTAAATAGGCTTCATGTACACTGAAACTGCTGTAGACGTTAACTCTACTGGTAGCAGAAAAACGCTAAACACGGCAAAAAATAAAAATATAAGAAGTAATCATACAGTAATAGAAGGACACAAAAGCACTAGTTGCAAGAAAAGACGAAAAACTATAACAAAATGATTTACCCTCCCCTGGTCACACAGATCCCGACTTTGAAATCGTGAGCCTTTACTGTAAGTTGCATGCTTTCAAAGTCGGGATTTGATTGCGATTTGAGGTGCAATTTGCAAGACGTCTGACACCTGATGCCATGTTTAGCGCTTGGACGTTTATTCATTTAATTGCCCAGAGTACTGGCCAGTTAAAAGAAGAAACACCTAAACATGGCTAGCGCTTGGGCGCGTTTACATGCATTTTTGCCACGTTTGGCGTTTTTCGGCCAAAGCGTTCCTCCCCTGAACGTGATTTTTCTGCGCTCAGGAGAGGGATGTTTAACTGCCCCTAAACTCTGCTGCTGCTAAACTGTGATAAAAGCCTATGTGAACATGGACATATAGGCGTTTACTGAGTTGAGTTTGGCAAAAAAAAAGCCAAAAGTTCCTAAACTCACATTTATGAGCAGCAGTGTACATGAGGCCTAAGGAGATGGAAGAAGAATTACACACTAAGCCAGCAAATTCTCTTTCTTGGCAGAATAACCTTTTGTAAAGCAATGCTAAGTAATTCACTGGAGAAGCCATACTAATTTATTGCTGCAATGTGAGAGACAGCAGCAGGATAGGTAGGGTGTTCTTACTATTTGGCTGCGCTCTAACACAGGAAAGAGTATATGCTGCCCAGAATGCATGCCTATTAATGCACAAGAGATATGTAAAGCCTTCAGATGACACTATTGAAGTGAGATGCTATAGCATAAAAAGCTGTATTCTGTCTCTGTTGAGAACGTTTATTTCTGATGCATTTCTGTATTTGTTTTTTTACAAACTTGCATTTCGCAAACTTGCACTTTTGGTGTTTAAAAAAGAGCCTGTCATGGGGAAAGAAACATAAAACTGCTGTGTATATTAAGTGTAGGAACCTAGTCATACCTGCACATACCCACAGCAGCTTCCCAAACTCTCCGGTCATGGCTGAATGCCAGTTGACCCGTCAGTATACACCATTCAGCAGTTGCAGCTGATTGGCTGTAGTCACTGATCGGTGGAAAATGTCCCAACATGTCCCTTCAAGAAAAGCCAAGTTGGAGAACACACACACTGTTCAAAATTTGGCTGGTCGCTGCTGGACTGGCCAAATTTCAGTCAATGTATGGTTAGCGTAAAACCTGTCGCCTAAATTCAAGGGAAACTACCACTAGGACCTGTCTCCTCATGTTCTTATTACCCCATTACTATGGTGGTCAGCCTCGATGGTCAACAGGAATGTGCAGAAGCAAGAGTTTGCATTCACTGTGGACTGAGTTTGAATTTTTCATGGGACTTTGCAGTCACAATTAATTTAGATTTAATTTTGAAAATATATGTCATTGCATTGATCTGGTTATTTTCTAGCGCGGGTTACCTCTGTATCTTAACCCTCCCACACAACCCTGGGGTGAGGGAACAGTTCTTGACAAAAATCTACAATACTACCCTGAAATGAGGGGAGCGATTTTAGCAGCAATCTCCAACATTACGCTGAAGCATTTGAGCTTTGTCTGTTGGACATGAAGTATGGGTAGGCTGCTGCAGATAGCTGGTTGGATTCCCCCACACCCTTTCTGAGCTGGTTCGGCCACCTGGCTTATTAGAAGTCACCCAGAAATATGAAGGTTTCTGATAGTAAACAGCCATAGTATTTGTATGTTCTCTGATGTCTGTAGGCATCTTAACCTTCACATTGCAGTATGAATTAATGCAACCCTGCTGGGTTTTTCTGCATCATTACCAGGCTGTCCCTGTTACACCACAAGGTGACGTGTACTCTTATCATTATTGGAAGGACACAGCATTGTCAGAACACTGCAGGCATTCACAGAAGCATTGGAATTGCTGCTTTACACACGTCATGAACCCCAGACCTTCCCTATGATTCACCCTATAAATCCCTTGTCTGAGCCCCTGCTCACAGATGATATTTGTAGAACCCGCTGGCTTCTGTGCACATTAAAATATCAATAGCAAATATGTCTGGGTGCATCTGCCTCACATTCCCCAGTTCCTGAACCTTTACAGCTTAATTGCTGTTTGGCCTTTCAGAAATGCATTAAACCATCTGGAGGGAGCTGCCTGCTAAGGCCTGATTGAATTAAAGTCCACCTCATCGAGTGCTCTTTCTTCGTAGTTCCATGTGTCCATCTGTATGACGTGCACGCTGTAGAACCACCAGTGATAGCAACTGCGTATTTACACAACATTATAAATTAATCAGGTTTATAATTTTAGATTTGAACATTAGTGCACATGATCATTTACATCAAAATGTAAAAATGTATAAGTAAAAAAGAGCAAAACAAAGGGATTCATTCCCCACTGCTAGTTTTAACCAATGTGCCTTAAAGTGACACTAAACTCTGGTTTAGGGAAAAAAAAAATCTATTGAAGTACAGTGGATATAGAAAAGAATCACCCCCCTTTAAAATAATCACATTTTGTTGCTTTGCAGCCTGAAATAAAGACAGACACAGTTTTTGTTTTATCCAGCTGTATTTACTTAGTGCAACTTATAACATCCAACTGAAAGATATAACACCAACATGTCAGAAAAATTTAAATAATTCAAAAATAGAATCAGAGTTGGAAAAAGGATCACCCCCTTGGGTCAGTGTTTTGTTGAACCACCTTTCGCTTTAATTCCAGCCTTTAGTCTGTTGGGACATGTATCTTCTATCTTTTCACATCTAGGCTTTGCAATATTTGCCCGCTCTTCTTTGCAGAACTTCTCAAGTTCAGATAAATTTGATGGTGACTGTTTGTGGACTGCAGTCTTGGAAGTAATTCCACAGATTTTCATTGGGGTTTAAGTCTGGGCTCTGGCTAGGCCATGCAAGGACATTCACCGTTTTCTCCATCAACCACTGTTTGGTAATTTTTGCTGCGTGCTTTGGGTCATTGTCATGTTGGACGGTAAACCTTCTTCCCATTGACAACTTTCTGGCAGAGGGCAGCAAATTTTACTCAAGAATTTGACGGTATTTTGCCCCATCCATTTTCCTTTCTATCCTGACAAATGCTCCAGTCCCTGCTGCAGAGAAACAACCCATAACAGGATATTACCACCTCCATAGTTTACTGTAGGAATGGTGTTATTTGGATGGTGAGCTGTATTGGATTTCCACCAGACATCTTGTTTAGTGTGGAGGCCAAATCATTCAATTTTAGCCTCCTCTAACTAGAACACATTTTTCCATGTGGCCTCTTCAAGGTTTGTTTTGTTCAGTGGTGACTGCATGTGGCCTTTCTTGAGGTGTGACTTTTTTCTTGCAACCTTCCCATACAAGCCACATTTGTGGAGAATTTGTGATATTGTCTCATTCACACAACGACCATTCATAAATTCCTGCAACTGTTTCACAGTTGCTGTAGGCCTCTTTAGTAGCCTCTCTGACCTGTTTCCTCCTGGCTCTTACATCCAGTTTGGAGCAACGTGCTGATCCAGGAAGAGTCTGTGTTGTACCAGATACTTTCCACTTCTTAACAATAGACTTCACTGTGCTTCTAGGCATAGATAAAGCTTTTGAAATTTTTTTGTATTCATCTCCTGCCTTGTGCCTGTCCACAACTTTATCCTGGAGATATTTTGTCAGTGCCTTGCCACCCATAGTTGATTGTTTGCTTCAGTTGTACTACCAGGGACTGAAATGCTCCACGAAAGCGCTTTTCATGCTGAGCTAATCAAAATTACCACAGCTGATCACAGTTGATAGTCAAATGGCTTTGTGTGCCACTGAGAAGGTGAATAGTTAGACCTGAATAGAGTTTAGTTATTTTTAGGAAGGAGTGATCCTTTTTCCAACTCAGTGATTATGTTTTTGAATTTTAGTAAACACATCTGGATAAAACAAAAACTGTGCCTGTCTTCATTTCAGGCTGCAAAGTCACAAAATGTGATTATTTTAAAGGGGAGTAATTCTTTTCTTTACCCACTGTATGTATTCTTAACTCAAAAAAAGTATCTTCTATTGCTCTCAGCCTCCTCCAAATCTCCAAATTCCTTTTTTTTCTGCTTTCTCTTTCGATCTGGGACACTTGTCGGGGCTGATATCTTCCCTATGGGACACAAATAAAAAAAAAAAAAAAGAAACATTGTCTTTGAATGTATTATATTGTAGGATTGCTCTTTCATTTAATCACAAGGTACTAATTGATGAGCAAGTGTTTTTAATGTCCATATGCTGTTCCCTACAGGAGTTGCATGCTTCAGGCTGATTCCGAGAAACTCAGACAAGCCTGGATCCAAGCAGTGCAGGCTAGTATTGCCTCAGCCTACCGGGAAACGCCAGATAACTACTACATAGAGGTGAGGAAAGTGAAAGTAACTGCACCCAAAAATGTCCTTACATAGAGGGGCTATCCCAACTTTGGATTCAAGAATACGATAGGCTTGTTGATGCGGGTGTTGTTTGGTCAAATATTAAACTTTTTTTGTCATCACAATATGTTGCAAGATGGGAACAAGGGCAGAGATGCGATCATAATGGTCTGTGCTTTCCATGGTCATCGCTACTTAGATGCTGAATAACTGCATTAGATGTGACAATATATTCCAAACCAGAAGGACATTTAGCTCAGTTCACTACGATGCAAGAATTATTTAACCAAATTCTCTTTTTTATATCCTAATATTCTCCTACAAAGGTTCAATTTCTGGAAATAAATATCACTTAGATTTAAAGAACTCATTTTTGCAAATTAAATTTGGTATTTACCTATTGAAGATCCTCATAAATAGTTATTTTAACACATTAAACATTATTTCACTTCCCCCTTCTGATGGCTCACTTTCCTGCTCTGCTCCATTAAAGCCATATTTATTTATGTAACCAAAAAAAAACAAATGGGACTTTAAATATAGTACATCGGAAATGTATATAAAATGACATATTTTTTTTTTTACTTATATTCAGCAACAAAAGGACCACATATTTAATATATTTGTTCAATCACATGAACTAATCAGCTGCATATTACAGTCATGATGGACCTTCATATCGAATGTACATCACTGACAACTTCCAACAGTTATAGTATATGTTGTCAACACATTTTGCAGCAAAAATCTGCTTCCTTGGTAAAAACCTGTCAGATCATATCCCTAGACTTGGTCTATTGTATTAACATGATTTTAAATCTATTGCTATCCCCACAATCTCAGCCAAGGTGACATATGAATCCCTGTCAATGAGATGAGGGAACGGACTCCGCTAAGACCAACACAAAGTCCAGTATATGAGATGGCCACAGCCATTCCTCTGGCTATGCCACCACATGCGGGCGGGTTGACCTTCTTTGTTTCAAGCTTGGAGCAGCACCGTGAGTCTTCCCTGTCAATGAAGTTATAAATCAGATGCAATTTCCTCACAGACTTCCGAAAATGCGCATGAGCAGTGTGCCCATATAGGAAGAAGTCCTCTGCCTGACTGGTTTGGTCCAAATATAGGAGCAACCAATTTATTTATTACTTATTTAATTATTTAATAAAGCCAGATCGGTCAGCTTAGCTTTCAGTGTCGTACACGCTCTGTTACATCAGGAACTATTTGGTAAATGCATTCATTTTTAACACTTTTTTTTTTATATATAGAGGCTTGACAGGACGGCATCCCCATCCACAAGCAGCATTGACTCTGCCAGTGACTCAAGGGAACGCAGCATTAAAGGGGAAAGCATACTTCAGCGAGTGCAGAGTATCGCCGGGAATGACCAGTGCTGTGACTGTGGCCAGACAGACCCCCGGTGGGCCAGTATCAATTTGGGCATAACACTTTGCATTGAGTGCTCAGGAATACACAGGTACTCCCATGAATAATGTTTAAGAGAGAACAATAATAACATTAAATGGGTTTTTAAAAAGTAATGAGATTCCACCGTCTGACTAGGATTAATTTGTTTAAAGTTCCACTTCCCCTTTGTAAGGATACTAATTCTACTATTGTTAAAGTAAACCTGTGCTTTGCCCTTGCTGCCACATGGTGGCAGGAAGAATCTTCATTCCTGAGTCAAGTGCAGAGAGGGAATAAAAGTATGGCTAGTCTGCCTAGAAGAAAAACCTTTCCTAAACCTCTTCCTCCACTTAGAGGAATCACTAAAGCAAACTAGAGAAGGTAAAGGCATGTTCACTCATCCTGAGGTCAGCAGTATGTGCTGAAGATGACTGCATGTGGGCTTGGCGTTCTACCTGTACACAAAGATTTTCTGATTTCATGTTCATGCATTTGTTTCGAAAATTGTGATTAATTAAAATTAATATTTTGCATCCAGTAGCCTAAAATTCTATTTGAAGAGTTACTTTATACAAATCAGATATTTCAGCATTTGGTAGATGCTGGAGGGGTAAACCACCTGACTGTTTCCCATGTGGGTCTGCTCCTTGCCGTCCCATTAATAAGGTGTCTTACTCGCCTTGTTGGATCGTTTGCTTTTTGTTACTGAGAACAAAGAAGTGCTGGGACATACAAAAGGCAGAAGAGACACCAAAATCTCTCATGTGGTTCAGGGTGGAGTTGGGAATTATGACAGGGAGATTTTGCTGATGCATGTTGGAGTATCCAAGACATATAAGTAAGTGGATGACTTAACCACTTAAGAGTTACCTATAAAAGAGCTGTAGAGTATTTTGTCTTGGAAACACTTTGGAAATATAAGAATTATTTAGGCATGTGATGCTTTAGGGATGTTGCTCAAAAGTTCATTGACTATACCTTTGTTGGTGTGCAGTTGGATTTCACTGGCATCTATACCGTTTGTATTGTAGGAGTCTTGGAGTGCATTGTTCTAAAGTACGCTCACTCACGTTGGATTCTTGGGAACCAGAGTTACTAAAGGTGAGTGAAGTACATTCTTTATGCCAGTAGTGAGTTGACATCAATACACAAAAGTCAGATTAACGTATTTGTTTCCCTCTCCGACTTTTCATTAGCTGATGTGTGAACTGGGAAACAGCACCATAAACCAGATCTATGAGGCTAAATGTGAACAACTAGGCCTGAAAAAACCAACTGCGGGATGTTCTCGGTATGTAATATATGAATTTTTTAAAAATGTCTTCAGGGGCTAGAAAAAAGGGAAACTGTACAGCAGATCCGGGATCCATCCTTTGTATTTATATAAATGGAGCTAACTAAATAGAGACCTGAAACAAACTCACCACCTATAGCTGCTATGCAAATGGATAGAATACTTAGAATGGATTTAAAGCCTAATTTTAGCCATTTTTTGTTTTAGATAAAATGAGGAAGAGTTAACATTTTTCTGGGTTCTTTTTCTGTCTTTGACCCCATTGGGGAGATTCTCCTTTACTTTTTGTTATTGTGATACCCATACAGGAAATAGGAGGAGCAGTTGTCACAGAGCAGGAAGGCACAGACTGCAGTAAATACTTTCTCTGTGTCATTGTTGGAGAGATTTTCTATAACCTGGCCTGACAGGAAACACAGGGAAATCTCAGTATTTGTGTCATAGACACCCAGTAGAAAACCTGACATAGGCTGTTTTGAAAGTCTTCTTTAATACTAACAATAAAGAAAAATCTGGCTCTTTGATTGCATTTTTTTAATCAGACAGGACAAAGAGATCTGGATAAAAGCAAAGTATGTGGAAAAGAAGTTCCTGAAGAGACTGGGCAGTGTAGAGGTAGAAAATGAGAGAAAGTCTTCCCAGAGGTGGAGCGTAAAGAAGTGTCAGCGGAATAACAGCTCCATTAAAGCTCCGTCAGCGAGGAGGAAGTACAGACATGAAGGAGGAAACACGTCTCCCGCGATGCTGTCTTCAGGTATGGCTCTGACAGGTCAAAGCTATAGCTGAGTTATACTTATAGCTATATTCTGGCTATATTCTCCAATCATGAGACTGGTTCAGATGCTGGAGTCTGTATTCAGTTAATCATGCTTTATTCATAAAAATGTAAATAATCCTGGGTATCAATGCCAAGAACAACATGCTAATTTCAGCCAAAGCCTACAATTTATTTTTTGCCTGATCTAAGGAGGGACTTTAAGAAGACAAACGAAGCTGCAGTTGCTGAAAGGGCAAAGTGACAAATTCTTTATAACCACTTACTTCCAAAGCCTATTCTGACTCTGCTCAAATAAATGTAAAAATGTGATTTTTTTTTTTTCTAGAAAATTGCCAAGAACCCCAAACATTACATATTTGTTAAGCAGAGGCCCTAGAGAATAAAATGGTGGGTGTTGGAATTTTTTATGTCACACGGTATTTGTGCAATGGTTTTTCAATTGCAATTTAAAAAAAAACATTTTAATGAATTTTAATGCACAAAAACATAATATAATACCCAATTGTTTGGTAAAATATAAAAGATGATGTTACGCTGAGAAAATAGATACCTAACATGCCCTTTAAAAATGCACACACTCATGGAATGGCAACAAACTACTGTACATAACATATACGTGTGTGAGTTATATGTTCAGACATCTTCGTGCGTGAGCATGGTGGGACAAGGCACTTTAAATTTTTTTTTTCTTTATCAACTTTATTGCTATCACAAGAGATGAACAACATCCCTTGTGACAGCATGGGCGGTGTCAGGTACTTTTTACTGAGAGATCTGGGATCTATTAGACCCCAGATCTCACCTGTGCCCTTCAAAGCATCAGATAAAACCCAGGTCAGTTTGATCTGCTGCTTTCACAGGCGGGTAACAGTCTGTTTACATTAGAACAAAACCAGAAGTGACAAAATACTCATTGCTTCCAGTTTCTTGGACCATAGAGGTGATCGGGGACGTTCCAGGCTCTCCCACACCACTGGGGAGAAGGCAGCAATGTACACCCTCCCACTGCCTATAAAAGTGATCCAGTGGCTAATTAGCCACTTGGATCGCTTTTAGTTTATTCAGCATCCTGGCTGAAAATACTGATACCGAGGTCATGGCTGCAGCTGCAACTATGGCCCCAGTAGAACTGAAACTCAAGGACATACAGGGATGTCCTTGAGTGGCAAGTGGTTAAATCAGTATTAAACCCCAAACCAAAAATGTAATATATTACAGCTTGTCAGTCAATAGATGTGGTGGTTGCACTAGTTTTCTTTTCTTTTTTCCCCTGTTTTCATCTGCTCATTTGGCTGGTAACACACCTCCTGTATTAGAGTGCCCCCACTTTGGATGAATGGGCACAGGGGGCTCATTTGAACAGCAGCATTCTCAGTCTGGGGGGAGGAGGGTGTTAGATGTACTAGCATATTTAGATACACTAACACATTGAAGCCAAACTCTATAAGTAGTTACAGCAACAGTTTTTTTTCCTTTTAGGAAAAAGGTTTTACATAGATAAATTAAAGCTTATCATTATAAGCAACTCTGCTGGTGTTAAATGGTTTGTCACATCTCTGTAACTAATACATTCTGCTGGAGAGCTTGTTCTTTTGAAAAACAAAAAATGTTCTGGCTGGATCCCTAGATGAAACTAGAAGAATGAAAGCCTAAAAAAGAAAATTAATGCAGCCATTACATCTAAGAAATGGTAAGCTGCAATATAATAAAACTAAATCTTTTGGGTTTTATACTACTTTAAAGCTGGCAATAGCAAAGGCAGCTGTAAGATCAACCCTACTCTCTCTCTCAGGTACCAAATACATCAAACTTTCCAAAGTTACATTTACATGCATAGTTACATTTGGTGTTTGGACAGTTGTAACGTTGTGCTATGAATGTCACAGATACTACCGTATCTTAGTTTCTTAAGCCTTGGGATATTAAATGAATTGATTTACAACAACCTTGTGCACAATATTGCATATGCTGCTATCTGTATGCTCTTCTCTTTTCAGCTGCAAAGTTAGAGCGGAAGTTCCGTCGGGATTCCTTGTTCTGTCCAGATGAGTTGGACTCCCTCTTCTCCTACTTTGACACGGGTTCTGGGCCACGTAGTAAGTATACATTACTGTTCTCCATCATCCACAATCTCCATTTTCATTCTATGACCCACAGAAGTATGCACTGTAAGAAAATCTCTCTCCCTCTTGTTGCACACAGATATATTTTTACCAAAGTATTTGGAATACTGGGATAAAAAGATGTGGGACTTAGTAAGAGATGGAATATAAGCCAGCAGTGGTAGTAGAAGAAATGCGGTGATGATTATGGAAGTATAGGATAAAAACAAGTAATTCATAGTATAAAATAAAACTAGAATCCGGTCAAGACTGGAGACAGGGAGGTGATCCAGCTGTGTTGTTTCACTACAGCAGAGCAATGTTGGTCACCGGGCTGTCTTTGTTCCCTGGTCCTGGTTGACTGAGCAGACAGAAAAATACTGTACATTCCTTGGCAGCTCCCATTTATGTATTTTATTGGTTTATTAGCTGTTTGCATGAAGTTAAGCTTAATATAGTATGCAACTGAAGTAGTGATAAGAGGTACAGATAAGCAAAGTAATAGTGTTTTCTCAGATCTATAACTCTATTAGAGGACAACAGTGTAGTGTAAATTTGAGTAACAGAAGAGTGGGAGTAGTAGTTATGTACAACTTGTGAGTTTTATAATTTAACCTAGTATAGGATTTAACGTTTGTATGTAGAAAATAACAACAATGGGATAGCATGTATGAGTTATTTAAGCTATTACAGATAACATCTACCCAAAAGATGTTGTTATTTTGTCTGGGGGCACTCATCTCTGGGGGCCAGCCCTTATTTCCATGGACATCCACCGCTAAACATGTTCCTTCTTATGACACCCACCCCTGGGTCTCACACTTTTTCTGAGGTCACCCACCTTTGGATATTATTTCTGAGAATGCTTACCTCTGAGTGTGGCCCTTATTTTTGAGGACAGTCACCTCTGGGTCTAACCATTAATTCGGTAAACACTAATTCTAGATGTTGCCCTAATTTCCCAGAAATGATTGGCTTTACCACTAGTTATCTTTGGAAATTCTCTTCTCCCAGAATATCTCTACTTTTGAGAGATACATAGGTAAAGGGGTAGGCATAAGATGATGCGTGGATAATTTTATCCTCATAACACGTCATGTCGGGGGAGAGATTTTACTTCCAAGCTTATACAATTGTTTGCGGAATGTAGTTCGTAGAAGAGGCTGAATCTCTGATCACTGAACCGGCTTAGCACGCATCAGTTGCTATGGCTTGCAGCTCAGCATTGCTCCAGCACCAACAGCAAATGGCTTCATCTTTTTAAACTGTCATCAGTAGTAATTGCAGCTTCAACAAATGATATTAGGTAATTAAAGTACTGAATGACAAAGCCTTTCTCTTTTGCCTGTCTAAGCAGTTTTCTTTCTTTTTTTTCTTTTTTTGTTTTGTCTTTTTTTGTTTTTGGGGGGTTTTGTTGTTTTTTGGGGTTTTTTTCTTTTTGCATAATTGTAATATACTAATCAAACGCTCGTTTAGTTGACCTTGCTTATTCCATGTAATTCAAACAAGCAATTGTAGAAAGTTAAATGTACACCTAATGGGATCCTTGATGGCTTCATTATCCAGGAGTGGAGACACTCTACTCTGTAGCTAAACTCATTGACTAGCTGCCTGCTTCTAGCAGTTTGTGATCTCCACTTAGTACATGAGTGTAATGTAGTATGGAAATCATTATACAATCCTGACACTGAACATATTGGGATTAATGTTCTCTTTACAAAGGAAAACTTTATAAAGTGTCACTAAAACTTTTTTCACTTTGGGTAGAGTAAAGGAAGGTTATAGCCTCTGTCCATCTGTGTCCCATTGGGGAGATTTCTCTTCTCTTCCTGTCCCATAGCCAAACAGGAAATGAGAGAAAATCCCTACAAAGTGAGGGAAACCTGGCGTGTCACCAGAAATGGTGTCCCCGTGGGTAGATGCCCCCTCTATTCCTGCTCTGATGTTAACGGTAAACAGGACAAATAGAGAGGGTAAATCTCCCTTAGGCCTCATGTACACTGCTGCTGCTCCTAAACTTGAGTGTAGGAGCTTTTGGCATTTTTTTGCCAAAGCCCCTTTACTCAGTTCAGTAAAAGCCTATGTGTCTATGTATACATAGGCTTTTACCAGAGTTTAGAAGCAGCAGAGTTTAGGGGCAGTTAATCGTTCCTCTTCTGAACGCAGAATAATCATGTTCAGGAGAGGAACGTTTTGGCCAAAAAATGCTACATGCAGCAAAAATGTGGCTAAACGCAAATACTGGAACTAATTCTGGCCAATTAAAGGAATAAACATCCAGGCGCTAAGCGCGGTACCGTGTCGACGTGCAGTGAAAACTAACGTGTTCTAATCTCTCTCCACTCTATCTAAAACTAAGAAGAATCATTTTGCCTTTAGTGACATTTCAAACCTGCCCTCATTTTGAAAGGAGCCTCTACTCTAGTAAATCAACTCCAAATATAAAACAATTCTTGCTCTAAATCTTGTCTGTAAATACAGTGCAGTTCACTGAATACTGATAATGTAACGTATTTGTGAACTTGTGGTATTCCTGAATATATTTTAAAAAAATCTAATGTGTTTTAAAAGTAAAAAATTAATTTTTAAACGGGTTTCTCTCTCAAAACGTTTTGGACAATTATTGGTAAAGGTTAAATCCTCTGATGGGTTTTATTGCTATTTCTCTCACGTCCTGTGACACCCACATCTCCCCTTTCTTAAATTAGTTATCTGCATGTAAAGAGCCCACATGGGTGATGTGTGGCCCTCAGACCTCAGCAGTCTGTAGTGGGAACAATGATTAGGGTAAAAGCATTGATCTCTACTAGCCTCATGTAACATGTTCCCAGTTTTATATTGTCT